GGGGGGGCCAATAGAAGGTGAGGGTGGTAAATTATGATTGAAGAGATTGAAAATATCGTTCAACGATGCCCCTAATTATTTCAAGGATGCACTTGTATTCTAGTCAATTTGTTTAAAAATCTATAATTATTCAATTTTCTTTTAACGCAGCTTGATGAACGACAATGCCAAGACACCTTTTAACATAATTTTTTCTTTGTCAAAACATTCGATGCTACTAGGAGACGTGGCTGAAATTGCCCTCAATTTTAGTAAAGGACAAACCATTTATTTGTAATAATTTTGTTCTATCCATATAATTTTGGAACTCGTAACTGTAATTTGTATTTAGGATACATGCAATTGCTTGCGAATTATGTATACTGGATCACTCAAAACGTATTTTGTAAGATTTGAATTTAAGACATCACAATAGTAGTCTCTTAGACATTTCCATCAAAGTTACCTGATAAATTATCAGAAATGAATTACAAAAGTAAATATTGATTTCTTTCCCCGCCCAATATGCATAATGCTTGAAATTTTTGATGGAAAGTACATAGTTTGAATTGAATCTGAGACATCTGAGTTAGTAAAGGTCAAATTCAACTATTGAATTACCTCTAAGGATTAAATAACACAACTTGCAACAAAAAGAAATGAATAATTTAAACTATAGTACTTCTCATTAAACATCATTTAAGAAAATCCAAAAAAGATATTCTTTGCATACACCCACACAACATATTTTTCTCCTTAAATAAAAGTCTCTTGTCTTATATGTAAAAAAAGCGTGTAAGACTGAGATTTACTCCGATATTAATTTTCTTCAATTTACTCTACTAAATTGGNAATATTTTTCTCCTTAAATAAAAGTCTCTTGTCTTATATGTAAAAAAAGCATGTAAGACTGAGATTTACTCCGATATTAATTTTCTTCAATTTACTCTACTAAATTGGTTATCTTTAGGGGTGTCCATTGGCGGGCTGGGCTGGGCTAGGTCTGCGAATTTTTTTTTTGGGCCGAGCCTAGGTAATGTAGGCCCAAAGCTCTTACCCAAGTAAATTATGGGGCAGGCTGGGCCGGGTTTCGGGTAGGAGTAGGCTACCCGCAACCCAACCCGTGAGCCTATTGGACAGACTTTTTTATATACATCTTTATTTAAAAATAATAAATATTTTTGTGACTTAATATTTATGTAAATTATATTTTTGAATCAAAAGAAAGTCAAAATGGATAACAATAAAATAATAAACAACATCAAATAGAATGAATAAATTCTAATTAAGTTGACACCTACTAACTTATCTATCATTTGCATTATTTTACCATTTAAAACTTATATGCTTAATACATGGAAAAAAAATAATATATTATTTATAATATCTAAATTTTTAAAATTTCAAATTTCAATATTGAGAGACTTATTTCAAAGTTTTAAATTTAATGGTCTAAATGTATAACTTTTTTTCAAAAGAAGGGTAGGTGGAGTGGGCTTGTAGACAGACTTGACTGGCGGGCTCTTAGGCTAAGCTTCGAGTCAGATAATGGGTTTGGGGGTAAACTCAAGTCCTCTTTTTAAGGATATTGGGCTCAGACTCGAGCGGGGCAACTATTGGGATTCAGACCTATTTTTTTTAACCGGGTAACGGGACCTGTGGGTAATCCGGCCCATGGACACCCTTAGTTATCCGAAATTGAGATCTTTTCTAATATATTTTTATATAATATTATTCAAACGTAAATCATATACCATTAATTCAAATTAGACCAAGATTTACAAGTGGATCTGTCAGCCATATATAGTGGGGTGATCTAACCTTGAGGTTGAGTTATTGGTGGGGATATNCGGGATTCGGACCTATTTTTTTTAATCGGGTAACGGGACCTGTGGGTAATCTGGCCCATGGACACCCTTAGTTATCCGAAATTGAGATCTTTTCTAATATATTTTTATGTAATATTATTCAAACGTAAATCATATACCATTAATTCAAATTAGAAAAAGATTTACAAGTGGATCCGTCAGCCATATATAGTGGGGTGATCTAACCTTGAGGTTGAGTTATTGGTGGGGATATAGATGAACCCAATATGAATTTAAGAGTACTCCATTGTATTTAACTAGATTCTCTATTAGTGGGTAATTTTAGCATTAAAAGAAATGTGGAACATTGATAATGGAAAGGATCCTAATNATAGATGAACCCAATATGAATTTAAGAGTACTCCATTGTATTTAACTAGATTCTCTATTAGTGGGTAATTTTAGCATTAAAAGAAATGTGGAACATTGATAATGGAAAGGATCCTAATTTAAGAGTTAGTATTAGAGATTATTATGATGCATTAGCTTACATCTCGACCATGGCATAAATAAGGTTGTTCTGTCTTGATACTGGTGTCAATTATTTGTGTTGCAAAATTAGTTTTTCTGCACGTAGGATAAGACCATGAACATCTAGCACTATTGGACTGTAATAATAAGAGTCTTGTGCATTAGACTATTTTTTTAGTTGGCAATGTCAAACAAGCATATTCTTACATAATATTTTTTTGTAGACTTTTATGTTATGATTTTCTTGTTTTGCCCCATGTTCTATCAAAAGACACCACAAATTTAGGCACTAGATCATATAGAGCGGGAGTTGGGGCGGGAGCAAGAGCGGGAACACAAAAAAGGAAAAATTAAAAAATATTTGAGACTGAGAGTTTCTTGAGAGCGTCATATAATATGCATCCAGATAAACAATCACCCATAAACGTAAATAAAAATAAATCTAAAAAATTAAATTTCATGCACATCAATGTGACAAATTATTTAATTTTTAAATACACCTTGATTATAAAGTTATGAAAATAGCAATTATAGGTTACAAATATCATTATAGTTTGACATATACCTCTATGCATGGGTCGGTACTTTTCAAATAAAAATTTAAGTAATAATGAGTAATCATATAAATAAGTAAGTTGGTGAATTCGCGAATTAAAAATTTAAATTTGTTAATTTTGTAAAATTAGAGCGCAAATTCACAAAAAATTCACTCGTGTTGATTGTTTTGAAGGATTATGTGACTAAGTTTAGGCACGAGAGGTATAGAATGAGAACAAAACAAATATATTTGGGCAGAAATGCAAATAGTTTTCACAACCACAACAAACGAAAGGTGGAAAGGAAAAACAGCAAGGCCACGGAACGATCATGCAAAGACAGAGCAATATAAATACCACAATTTCATGACCTCTTAAATGAGGGACGCGTTTTACCCTTTTTCATCATCATCTCTCAACTCCGGTTTCCCCATTTCATTTCCTTTCTCTCTCCTCCAAGAAAAAAGTTTAGAGAGAGAGAGAGAGAGAGAGAGAGAGATGGGAAAGTATATGGAAATGTTGGATGCAGGGGTGAGATTCGTAACAAGATTTCATTCTCATTGTCCTCAGACGGCACACATGTACTACCACCCTCCGGCTAACCACGATGACAACCACCACGACCACCCACATGGCGGTGTATCTAGAAGCGATGCTGCCGGTGATCTCTCCGACAAGGTGGGTGGTTTTGGCTCCAAGCCAGGTATAGGGGTGGATACTAGGGATTTGATTCTTTATTATGTCGTCTAATGACCAAAGCTATCAAAAAAGTACACAACATGTCTCTAGTTTAGATGTATTGTTTAAGAAAGTTTCGGATTAATTATAATTTTTTATTTTTATTTCATATATAATTGTTCTCTCCTCTCTCGGGGGAATGATAAATTGAGGGGTTTATAGGACAATCACGTCTTTAAGAAATTGAAGGATTACCCACTACGAGTTTATTTTGGGGGCCAATCCCTTACCTATTATCGAAGAGTTCAAGTCTCGTAAGTCTAAAGATATACATACAAGACAACAGTAGTTTCTGTTGTCATTTCCTCTTAAGTTAGATTCATCCTCATACATCGATAAAATAAAAGGAAATTAAAGAAATTTGGTGGTCAAGAAGACGCGATTGCCCCCTTGTCCAGATTTGGAAATTTTTGTATTAGTTATAAAAATAAATAAATAATTTTACAATTATGTTGAGTTCGTTTCTCATAAATTTTTTGATCTATACAATTGTTGTTTTAAAACTTGTCTACCTAAATTGTTTTCCTAGGTCTCATTTCAGAATGCGTGTGAATGTAGGCATTTGATATGCAGAGGTTTGGTGAAAATTATTGGATATATTTCTCTAACTTTTCCAATCTGTCTTTAATTTCTTTTCTTTTCTTTATATATAGTTTGAGGAAGCACAATTAGTAGGACAATTTATTAGAAAATAAAAAAACAAGATCAAGACAGGAAACATATTAGATCGCTTACATGACCACCAACCTAAAGAAACAAAATATCAATGATTTACTTAGATTCTATATGACACCTAAGTCATGACCAGAAGTAAGAAACATACCAACCTGTTTTTAGGGGAGGGGGTTGATTGAGGATTTCTATGATACTTATTGGTCCGTAAAGTCAAGTTTATAATGAGAATTAAACACAATTATAATGACCAATATCACGCCATACTCCAATTAATACTTTTCAAATTTTTCATACATTTGTCAAGATATTCTTCTCATAAAAGTATCCAAACTTTGCATTTCTCTATTCAAAGTCAGTTGAACACTGAAAACTTGTTTAAAGTACAAGTTTGGTGTGGGATACTGAGAGCTAGAAAAGATAACAATAGTATCATAATTTTTTTTTAAAAAAAATACTTGAATCGTTTCAAATTTGATCCATTCTTCTTGAGATGGACAATACTTAAAATTAGAATCAACAAGTTGCAAATGACAAAAGACATGACGGTAGTAAATTGAACTTGCAAGCATCAAATATGTTGAGTTCTATCTAATAGGAACAACTTGCCTCAAACTTTTCTTGCTATCTAAAGATGTATGTGCAACACACTCTAAGAATTTTTGTTTTCTTACCCAAGAATCTTTTACATACTTGACACTCTCTAATTGTTTCCACAACCAGATCTATTTCTTTCAACCCCTCTTGCATAATTAAGTTTAGAATATGAGCACAATAATGAATATAGAAAAAAATCACCACCACCAAGAAAAACATTTATCAAATTCAGTTGATTCTTAAGCATATCAACCATGACATCATTTGCAGAAGCATTATCCAAAGTAATTGAAAAAAACTTTTTCTCAACCCCCCATTTTGTCAACAAATCATAAATCTTGTCAGCCACTGCAATGCTACCATGTGGAGGAGGCATGTAAGGGAAATTTAGAATTCTCTTTTGCAACACCTAATCTTTGTCAATGAAATGTGATGTGAGACTTAAATACCCATTGGTAGCAATATATATCCACAAATCAGAAGTAAAACTAATCCTTCCAAGTATGTAATGCAAGATAACAGACAACCTACGCATTTCTTTTGCATGTAATTTGAGAATATCAATCTTAGCCGTGTTTCTTGCAATAAATTTGACATCTGGATTTAAGTAGTTAAAGATTTGTCTAATACATTCATACTCAACAAACTAAAAAGGCAAATCATGTCTAATTATTGGACGTAATAACATTTCTCAAATGTTTTTCTCATTAAACTTGAAAGATCGTGCAGTAATATATTACGGTCTAATCGGTCGAACCGGCCAGTCCGGTCCAATTTTGATAACACCGGTTGAAAGGCAACAACCTCTAAGTGGGGGAATCCCACATCGGTAGCTAAGAAGAATGGCACAATGGATGGCCGGCTATAAGTAGAGCATGAGGGTAGGTAATTGGATATTGGGTCTCATAATTAGGGCCTAGTGAAGTGAAAGTGTGTAAAAATTTTACTTAGGCATGGGTTCAGCTATTTAATGAGTGTAATTTTTTTAATGAGTGTAATTTTTTTTAAAATTATGAAATTGATCCCAATAATTTTGAGCCTGCGAAATGCACATTTGGAATTTACGAATTCAAAAAATTGAATTTGTGATTTTGGCCAGAATCTGCTCTAAATCCCATGTTTTAATCGTCAATTTGTAGGCCTCTATGGACGAATCATGTGACAGCTCTCAGCTCTCAGCTCTCAATGAACTGAAAATAATAAAATGAAGTTAGGGTTAGAAAAAAAGACTAGGTTCTTAATATAGTGCTGGGTCAATTTTGGGTCTAAGCAGGTTAAGCGGGTTTGTGTTAATCTGAGTCAATTTTGAGTTGAGCGGGTTGAATCCGACCATGACTCGTTAACATTTCGTGTTGGCAGGTCATGTCATAAATGAGTTTGTGTCAAAAAGTAGTTAATTTAAACCATTTATTTGTCGTGTTCGTATTAGGTTGTCGTGTCGTGTCAAAAATTGTTACCCTTACTCATACCTCTCCTACTTTCTCTTTTGTTGAAAATCGCATATGGAGGTGGTAGGTTGAGGGTACAACCCTTATCGCATTGAGGCTTGGGTGATCTAAAATGATGATGTATGCTGATGAACATTCCAAAACCAGGAAGTTTGTCATGATTGTAGTCTATCGTGGTGCTGATCCAATCATAAGTTGTATGACGATAGACTTAATTGGGTGTGTCCTTTCTCCTGGAAAATCAATGAATGGTGTGGTTACAAAACTAGCCTTTCTCTACCAATATTTAGCCTGTCGAAGGTCGGGGCAATTATAATATCAACTAAGCTCCCACTATCGACCAAGACCATTTTTCTACGTTGTTGGCAATCGTCAAAGTGACCACCAATGGATCATCATATGGATGCTTGATTCCTTTCAGATCTTCTTTAGAAAAAGTGATTTGGGGTTTCTACCAGGGTTTCTTCCCTAGGTTTACAAGCTCATTTCCAGCTTGTCTGATTTTGCTCTTCATGCGTGCGCCAGCCCTGCAGAGTAGTTCTCTTTGCCTCCTGTAAAACCTCTGGAGTTCACTGAAGCCTCTCTAATGGGGAGGTTAGGCTTCATTCCTCTCTTAATGGCAGCGCTCTATGTACCTCCCTAGATGACCTTCCCGGATCAAATCGTATATTTAGTCTTTCAAGACCTAATAGTCGTTTGTGTTATGGCCATGATCTCGGTGAAAGCGACAATATTTATCTTTAGGCCTCCTTTTGGGAAGGGTTTTTATCTTTTCGGGCCATTTGAGCATTTTCTCATCCTGTATTTGGTAGAGGATCTGCTTCATAGAGGTGTTAAAAGGGGTGTACCTCTTAGCTGACTCATTGGTGCATGAACCTAATTGATCCCTTGCACTTACCCTTTTGGAGTGGTTCTTCTTAGGACTACTTTCCTTTTCTTTCCTACTTGCAGGATCTCGCCTTCTGTTATCATCTCTCGGGTCCTCTCGCCAATCTTCATTGGTGGTGGTGGTGGTAATGATGATGGTGGTGGTGAGCGAGTGGGGGTGGCTGCGGCGGCAATGGTGGGGGTGGTGCAATAGTGGTGGCGGTAGCGGTAATGGTAGTGGTGATGGTAGGGCTGTTCCAAATACTAATTTTTTTTCTAAAGTACTTATTACAAGTTATAAGTTATAAAAACAATTTTGAAAAATCATCCCAAACACGTCTTTAAGGGCCTAAGTTCTCTATTAAATTTGAGGTGTTAATATTAGATGTCGGATTAACTTTCAAGTAAAAATTTTAAGAGATTTCAATTGCGAAAGACAAAAGTCATTTTGTGTATATTTTGAGATTTGAATTGTATTATACTTTATATGTAGATATGTCCAATGACGAATTGGAACAAACATGAACACACTCGTTAGAAGGCAAAGAACTCTGATGCATTACGTCATATAACTGACGACGATGTTGTCACTAAACAACTTTGAATTTCTTTGCTATCTTATAAAACCAATTCACTTCATAGATGTGGTTAGAAGTGACAAATGGGCGAGTTGAACTGGTTATGGGCCGGTTCAAAATGGGATGTATGTAAAATAAGTCTAATATATTTTTAACCCTCTTAATAAATGAGTTATAACAGATTGGATCATAATGACAGATTGGATCATAAGGATTGGGGTTAAACTCATTCACCCATAAAATAATTTAAACTATTAATATAAACACACACACACACACACATATATATAACAGTAGTATTTACCCGTGCCTAAAGGCATTATATAATTTATAAAAAAAAAATCGAAATGAATTGTCTCCCTCTAATATTTTGCATTACACAAAAGAAAATGTCTCCCTCTAATATTTAATCATTACCCGTGTCTGAAGACAATATACAACAAACAAAAATTTTTTAACCAATTGTCCAAATTCAAAAGAAATGACCAAAAAATATTCATACAAATTATTCTTTTTTCCCAAGATGCTTTTTATACATTGTTTCCCACCTACTAACTCTTTCAATGTAATGGGAAACCCACTAACAACCTCAAATTACAACTAATGACAAAACATAATAGAAAATATCAGGAATTCACCTCTAAAATTTATGTGTATTATGTAAGCTCAGTCCTTAACTTTTAAAAGATCAATCAGTGGTATCACAAAATTTTCAAAAAAAACTGAAAAAAAGAAGGGAACTTAAAGACAGTGGAGTGTTGATGGCGTGGTGGCAGTGACAATTGGTTCTTATGCCGCTAGCAGTGGATGGGTTGCAACACAAAGCGAAACAACAGAAAGAGAGGTAGAGGGACAGGGAGAGATATGTGTACCTGAGTAGTGCAACAATGTGACTCAAGAAGACAACAACAAAAAGCGTATTCGAAATCAACAACGAAATCTACATAATCAAGTTTAGAACAAAATGAAGTTTAGAATCGAAAACTATCTATTCAACGGATCTACATAATCAAGTTTAGATTCGAAATTGATTTCTATTCAACATATCTACAT